CAGAAAATTAAACGGCACAAATATAACATATTTTTCTTTTTCAAAACATGATTTCACTTTGCCTAATCTGGTTGAATTCCAAACTTGACCTTTTACATTCTTTAAAGAGAGAAAGAAAAAACAAAAGTGTTATCAAAAAAGAAAGAAAGAAAGAAAGAAAGAAAACAAAAAGAAAAGGCAATTGATCTTAAGAAAATGTTGCTTACCTTTAGGTTTTCTTTTGCTCCTATAAATATAGAATGTGAGAAGCATCACAAGAACTCCAGAAACGGTAACTGAGATCACAATTATCTTTATCTTGTATTCATTATTACCTTCATGGTTAGCTTCACATAGAAATGAACAAATATATAGTGAATGTACAGCAAATTGAGATAACTAAACACCCCAAAAAAAAAAAAAAAACAGAGAAGAATAGATAATCAATGAAAGGATAAATACCTAGTTCTGCAGAAGCAATTCGAATATACAAATCTGATCCACATCATTTGACATTGTGTTCATATCAGTAAGATTACCAAACCACATGACACAACCACTACCTCCTCTTCTGATATCCGACTTAGCATAAGCAGTACAAGAACAATTTTCCCAACATTTGGCTTTGCACTCCTCAAGTGTCATACTTGTATTGACCCAAGATTTTGTAATATCTGGTAATTTCAGGCCACTAAATTTAAGGAAACTGTCTTTACCTTTCACCTTACAGCTCCATAGTTCACTGTGAACACACCCTCCTGTCCAATCAAACATTCCCAGTTTTTGGGTGATTTTGGCTTGAATCCCTTCAAGCACTGGCATATAGCTGTATCAACGATGATGCATTTCCATATGCACCACAAAGATTATATAGTTCACAATTATCTCTTGGTAGATCACCAAAAGATTTCCATGTTTTTCCATCTTCAATCCACACAAGCCTCTGCAAAGCGTGCTTTGTTTGGTTTAAAACTCTTATAGAAACCTCTGACTCATTGTCGGGAGTGTATATGAAATAAACCTCGTCTTCATTGGAAACCAATGTTAAGTTATTATGAACTAATTCTTCCATCGTTGTAGGAGTGCCACTAAAATCAAGACCATTCCATGGGCCACTTCTGTGATATTCTGTGGAGCCTTCCCATAAGACTATTTCTGGTAAATTGTGAAGCATGAGTTCACTTCTGAAGTCTCCTGGAGAAGGATCATCCCAACTTTTCCATGCCGTTAAATGTCGATTAAGACCAGTTCTAAGGTCCCATCCAAACTTGATTCCTGGCAAAAGAGTATCAGAAGGATAATCAAAACTCTGCCACAAGTAGTTTTGTGGACTGATCTGGTCTTGTTCATCCTTCAGAACCAAATTTCCAGAGTCTAGAAGTTGTACGATTGGACTTGAAGCTTTTTTGGTTGAATTTGCTAACCAAACAACAGTCTCGTTCTGGCTTAGAAGCACAAGGTTTCCTTCTGTGTTAATGCTCAGCTTCCCTGAATTACCTTTGACTGGTTTTTCACGGTTGGCAACCCAGACAATCCTTCTAGTTGGGATGTTCTTGAACCAGATTCCGATGTATCGGTTTGTGGAACTACCTGGGCTGAAAAAACCTAGCTCGAACTTTCCATTTTCAGACACCAAGGTGGTTGTTCCACCGTCAACCAGTGGCTGAGATTGTGTAATAATATCAACAGCAGTGGCTAATAACGAAGACAACAATAGAACCACAATGGTATAACTATAAACATGCGCACAAAGAAGGATGGCCATTGATTTGTTCAAAGCGTGGCCAAGTTACCTATATATATATATATATATATATATATATATATATTTATATATATGTACACATACGTATAGAAATCATCTATGTTGAGGAAGTAAGCGCAAGAAAGGTTGAACAAAGCACGTTGATTGACTTGGACCGTTGAATGTCGCAAGGAAGAGTGATGACTACTTCAAAAAATATGGAATATGGTCTTTTATAGAGAGGGTATTCTTTTTTGTATTTACAATTTATAAATTATAGTATTAAAATTTTCACATGAATGCACAATTATACCTTTTATTGATTATTTATGAAAAGAGGTCATTAAAATATAAAAAAATATATTAAAAAGAGATTAAGTTGGAATATTATTAAATTTTAAGATAAAATTAAGCAGATTTAAGATTTTTCTTACTTTCAATGGAATATATTAGAAGTGTTTTATCAATGAGGCAAGGACGAAGTGTATTTAGGAGCAAAAAAGAAACCTACGCAAAGGTTGACTAAAACATGTGGCCAAGATGATAAGGAAAATAGCATTCCAACTATCTTACGTTGTTCATTATTCTTCGGTATTGTTGACAGCTTAATTTTTAATTTAACTACGAGAGACTTTTCTTTATATGAAATTAAATAAGCAAAATTTCAAACTTACATAAGCCATTCATTGATTTAATTAATCTTATGAAATAGCGAATCTCACAAATTGAAAATAAATAAAAAGTAAGATAAAAATGATATAAGAAAGAAATAAATGCAGTTAACAAAAACGACGTGTTTGGACAAATGAGAATCAAATATCTTGTAGGAATGTTAATTACGCTATAGTAAGGACTTTTAATTTTGGAATATGTTAAATAACGACCTAAGTTGTTGGTTGGACTTTTTTTTTTTTTGAATTAATTTTTGCCGTGTCTATGCTTATAATATTTTGAAGACTTATCTTTAATTATTTCAATACTGAGCTTTGATACTTTTGTAGTTTTATTACTCTCAGATACATTGACAATTTATTTATATATATAATATAAAAATTTTAACAGGCTCAAATGATCATGAATTCATTAAAATACTCTCTTCTTGTTGAAGTTGTATGGGTCTCACTTTCAATGGCAAATTCAATAAGATTTTCTTACCCAGATATTTTATTATATTCCCTTATTAAGTAAACTAATGGTATAATTAAAAAATAATCCTTATTTTATTATTACCCGCCTTAGCCTTATCTTTTAAGTTGAATAGTCTCCACGTATTCTCTCTGTTTTTTTTTTTTAAGATAACACTCCATGCATTTCTTCGTGGACAGCTTTTAAAATGAGCATATATATACTCCTCTGGTCATTAATATAGGACCTAATTGTTGAGTTGGTTTTGATCCTAAATATAATATCTATTTACTCCTCCGGTCCTTAATATAAGATCCATTTAACTAATTTGATTAGATTAAGGAAGTTAGGTAAGTTAGTTAATTATAAAAAATGTGACATGTTTTTTCTAAAACACCATAATCATCTTTCTTAATACCCCCTCCCTCTTCTACACTTGATTATGATTGAGGGAGTATCTATAAGGGTAATTTAGAGAAAATTGATAAATATGAGAAATGGGTCTTATATTTAGGATCAGAACCAACTCACCAATTGGGTCCTATATTAAGGACCGGAGAAGTATCATATTTATCAATTTTCTCTAAATTACCTCTATGGATACTCCTTCAACCATAATCAAATAGAACAGAAAGAAGAGTATTAAGAAAGATAATTATGATATTTTTAAAAAAAACGTGTCACATTTCTTATAATTAATTAAATTACCTAACTTTCTTAATCTAATTAAATTAGTTAAATAGGTCTTATATTAAAGACCAAAAGAGTATATATATATATATATATATAATCGCTACTGTTGGCAAAATAAAAAAATCGCTATCAAATATCAACGTTAGTCATCATATCGTTACCTACACGCTGGGAGACTGCACTTACAAATCCCACGTTAGTGAAGGCAACATCTCACCTAACGTACCCCGGAAGACAACTAACATTTTCCACCTTTCTCAATTCTTTTTTTTTAAATTAAAAAAAAAAAGAAGCCTTTTTCATGTCTGGGTTTGGGCAATAAGAGAAGATATTAGACAAATTTTAATCCGTCACCGAAGTATATTTTCTGCCTGTCCTAATGTAAGGCAATTAGCTTTATTATAAATGAATAAAACTGAAAAAATTGTTCAAGACATAATCATAAGACATGAGTTAAATCATTTCTGTCACAAGTTTGTTTGTTATTCAGTTCCAAACTAGATAATTCAGACAATAAAAGATCGAAAGAGAAAGAAAAAAAAAGGTCCATTTTAGGGATGCCAAAATCAACTTTTTAATATTGGAAAGTCAATACCAACTTTTCCCACGGCTGATGTTAATGACAGTCCTGGTTCACAAATGCAGTACAAGTTCGTGCAATTTTCAGGCCTAACATATTATCCTTTGATTTGTCAGGGCCAATTTGTTTCTTAACAAGGGGAAAACACAATGAAAGAGAAAATTGCTTTTATTTAAACTACAAGCACAATATCGAATCAAGAGAGTCGCTTAGAATGAACATCCTCTTGCATTTAGGCAAATAGCTAGTCCTATCCTTAAGAGTATACTCATTAGTGCTCCAAAATCAAGAAGTAAAAATTGAGTCTACCTGGCTTCTAACAAGGTGATAGATGTTTCATTACTTGACGGAGTGGTATGATTGTTAGAAGATTCTCCCTTAACTGCAATGTTTTCTAAAAGGAAACCAGGTTCTTTAGGCTTAGGCAAGACACCCTCACTACTCAACATTATAACTACAGATGGCATGTCTGGCCTATCATCAGCATGGTACTGCAAACAAAGAAGACCGATGTGGATGCATCGCACGACTTCTGATTCAACACAAGACTTCCCCAAACGTCCATCAGCGAATTTTAGTGGGATTCCCTCATTCCACAACCTCCATGCCTACAACAATTCAAAGCATTAAATCAGTTACCAATTTCAGTAATGATCAAAGAAAAGTTAGGCTCCTTGTTACTAACATGTCCAATAAGATTAACGCTTTGACTTGGTAAGAAGGGCCCCCTGTTTTTCATGCCACTCACTATTTCTAACAATAACACCCCGAAGCTGAATACATCAGATTTGATTGAGAAGAGTCCATGAATTGCATATTCAGGAGCCATATAACCACTGTTACAAGTTATAAAGTAGTTAATATCATATTTAGTAATGTGCATATATACAAAATCAAAAATATAAGAAAGCATACTCACTATGTACCAACAATTTGTTTGGTGTTATCTTCAATTTGATCCCCTCCAAATATTCTTGCTAGACCGAAATCTGAGATTTTTGGATTTAATTCACTATCTAATAATATATTACTTGCTTTAAGGTCTCTATGGATGATTCTTAGTCTAGAATCTTGATGAAGATACATAAGGCCTCGAGCAATTCCACGGACAATGTGAAAGCGCTTGGACCAATCAAGAAGCTTAGTTTCAGAACCTACAAGTTTTTAATGTATTGGTACTTATCATTATCCGAGGAGAAATAAAAGAAAAGAATGAAAGCCTGCTAATTGACAGCGATACAAACCAAAAATAAATGAATCTAAGCTCTTGTTGGGCATGTATTCATATATGAGCATTATCTCCTCTCCTTGAATGCAACAACCAAGAACCTTGACAAGATTACGGTGCTGGAGTTTGGCACACAATTTAACTTCGTTCTTAAACTCACACAGCCCTTGGCAAGAACTTCGTGAAAGCCGTTTCACTGCAATTTCTTGTCCGTCCGCAAGTATACCCTACCATTTTTATATCGTAAAACTGACTGTCAATACATAACATCAAATATCACAAGAGCCATTGCAATCTTTAGTAACAAGTTAATAGCATCCTTACCCTGTATACAGGACCAAAACCACCTTGGCCAAGCTTGTTGTCCGATGAGAAGTTATTGGTAGCATTAGCTATTAATGCAAGGTCATAGATACGTTGCTCCATATTTCCTTCACGGCCTTCTTCTTTGTCTACTGCTAGCAAGTTTTTTAGCTCCATGTTTCTGTCAGAGCCTTCTTCCTTGGTTGCTGCTAATAATGTTTCTGTTGTAAATTAAATGGAATACATAAATACCCCCCAAAAAAAAAAAAAATAGTAGCATTAACTATTTCGGCAATGTCAATTGAAGGTGGCTCCATGTTTCCATAAGAGAATTTTTCGTTGTTTAATGTTAACACGGTTTTCATAGTTCAATTTGATACGCTAAATGATAGAAATCTTAAAAAGAATAAGTAAAGGAAATCGTTCTGTTCTTTGGGAAACATAATGGCATCAAACTCAATCATGTCAGATTATAAACCAGACAACCCCAGCTATTGTTAGAACATTGGGTTTGGGTTTTTTGCCTTTTTTTTGGGGGGGGGGTGGGGGGGAGTCTAGGCTTTTGGGAATGTTTACCTTTAGAGTTTCTTCTGCGCTTGTAAATGTATAACAAAGTGAAAAGCATCACCACAGCCAATATAGTGGGCACTGTTACAGCAATCACCTTTGTCTTATTTCCATTAGCCTCATCCTGTTCAGCTTCGCAAGAAAACGAAAGAGTTAATAGACAAAAAGTTGAGGTTGCTAAAGAAATCGAAAGATGATTAAAAAATTATACCTGTTTCTGGAGAAGCAAGGCGAATATACAAATTTTGGTCATCAAAGGGAATCTGCCTTATATCAATTAAATCACCGAACCACATAGCACAACCGCTACCTCCTCCCCTGATATCTAAATTAGCATAAGCATTACAAGAACAATTTTCCCAGCATTTGGCTTTGCATTCCTCAAGCGTCATACTTGCATTAACCCAAGAATATGTAGTATCTGGGAATTTGAGCCCACTAAATTTGACAAAATAATCCCTGTTTTTTTCCTTGCAACTCCATGATTCATTGCGGATGCATCCTTGAGACCAGTCCATTGCATTCCAATTTTTGGGTGATTTTGGCAAGAATCCTGTCAAGCACTGGCATATTGGTGTCTCACCCAGGACGCAGTTTCCATTTGGGCCGCAACGATTATATCTGTCGCAATTATCAATTGGCGCAAAACTAAATGTAATCCACCTCTGATCATCTTCACTCCATATTACGTCCAGTAGTGAGTATAATGTTTGGTTGTAGACAAATCTTGTGATCAATGACTTATTTTTGAGAGTATGCATTGAATAAACCTCATCTTTGTTCCAGACAAACGTTGCTTCATAAAGCGGATTGCTTGTCGCATAGGAGATGCCACTGAACCGGACACCATTCCAGGGGCCACTCCTCATATACTCTGTTGGGCCCTGCCGGTTTACTAAATCAGGATAGTTGTGTAGTACAAGCTCTGCTGTAAAGTCTCCAAAAGAAGGGTCATCCCAATTCTTCCATGCTGTAAAACGTCGATTAAGACCAGTTCTCAGGTCCCATCCAAACTTCATTCCTGGCAAGATTGTATCAGAAGGATAGTCGAAGCTTTGCCACAAGTAGGTTTGGGGCTTTTGATCTTTCCCATCTCTTAGAACCAAGTTTCCAGAGCCTAAAAGCTGCAAAATTGGACTCCAGGCCTTTGTGGTGGAATTTGCTGACCAAACAACTGTCTCATTCTGGCCGAGCAGCACAAGACGTCCCTCTGTGTTTATGCTCAACATGCCAGAGTTGTTTTTGATGGGTCTGCCACGGTTGGCAACCCAGACAACAGTTGTACCTGGGATCTCGTGGTACCAGATTCCAACATAGCGGTCGGTGGAACTTCCAGGGCTGAAGAAACCCAATTCGAAGATTTCATTTTCAGAAACCAAGGTCTGGCCGTCAGGAAGAGACTCGAACTGGGTGAGGGTATCAGTTGCAAAAGAAAATCTGGAGAAGAACAAAAGCAGATTGGGAAGAACAAGCCAATAAGGAAGGATAGCCATGGATGTAATGAATTGGTCTACACTAGAATAAATAAGTATACCCCTGATCCTGATGAGGCACATGTTCAAGGGGCAGCCCGCCAGAAGTATACAGGTTGACTTGGCGCTTTTGAAGTCAGAAAAATTGTTCTCTTTCCTTCACACAAGAGAAATTAATTTTCAACGCAAGAATAAGATAATGACTTTTCCAGATGTATGAATAAGATTGCGGCATCATATAAAAAAAACTCCAGACTCAAACTTCAAATTCAATGTAATGCCTTTCGGTCAACAAACTATCAGATCCTTGCATGTGTACTGAGATCCCTCAGATCCATGTAGTAGGGTCAGGGAACGGAAGGTTCAGATCTTTCTTTCCTTTTTTTCCCCCCCTTTTGGGACGATATTCACCATAATTGACTTCTACCATCAAATTGTTGTTCGGTTGAATAATAAAAGGTCGCAAGAAACACAAAAGGTTTCGTTTCGTAAATGCCACAAGTCAAAATTTGCGAAATGCCTATTTTTATTTTTGTAAGTCAATTCCAACAACTACTTTTCCAAAAATCAGGCTGCTTCCTACCTTCATATAGATAAGATAGCACCTATTTAAAAGGAAAAAAAAATCGTTGCTCTGTTCCATCTGATCAAGTTTTTGTCGGCCAAAAATTGAACCAAAAATCGCAGGTAGGCTAATATCAAGTGGAATTGGAATGAAAGGGGTTTAAACTTGAAAGCTTAGTCTGGAATCAGAATGAGACTCAAACATCAAATGGATACTGAAATGGTATAAACTGAAGAAACCTAAGAAAGACTTATGTACCAGATTTCGCTGCTTCAGCTCGTTGAAATCAGCGAGTGAAGAAACCAAGTTCCGAGCTTCCATCTTCGGAACCCAATTGAGTTCCCTTCAAGAGGAAGGAGTGGATGAGACTGGGTCGTGCCGTAATAGAATCAGCCATTAGTTGCAGAGGAAAAGGGAAAATGAACGTCGTTGTTAATAGCAAGCATACCAGGAAGAAACGAAGAATGAAACCCGTTTATGATTTATCTCCCAATAATGGAACAAATCTGATCGATCCATGACACGAAAGAGGCAAATTCACACTTCAAAAGTTAAACTTGAATGAAAATATAAAATCTTACTTTTCGTCAAAAGGTTCCAAACCACACGTATGACTAGCAGCAAGTCACTAAGCTTTATTTAGTGCACACAAATAAATTATTTTTTTTAATACAGAAGCAAGCATTATGCATGAAAATAAAACAAACGATACAATATCAAATCACTGAACAGGACCTCCTGAAGAAAACAACTTAAGTCGAGCTGAAATTGATCTCTAAACAAAATGCCGGAGGCTCCCAAACAATGGCCAACTTCGCATTGGCTTCATAAGCCACTCTAGTGAGGTAATAAGCCACTTTCGGCTTGGATTGAACCAAAACTCTACTTAAAATTTTTGTACAAAAGAATAAATTAGATTTTTGGAGAGGTTGGGTTAGTTTTGGTTTTGCCTTCATGTTCTTCTCTCTTCTTTTGTACGCCAAAAAGTAATTAGGTTAAAAGTTTCTTTAATTAGCATTTTTAAAATTGAACTGATCATTCACATGTCAAAATACTATTTGAAATTTATTATATACTTAGATTGGAGTTGATTGTAATCAAATGTGTGTTTTTAATGTTGATATTAAAATTTTATATCAAAATAAAAAAACTAATTGAATATTTATTAAGGAAAAACTTATATCAATTTATTAATATCCATATACATAGTATAAAAGTTTTGACAGGCTCAAATGATCATGAATTAATCATCAATAAAATACTCTTTTATTGTTGAAGTTGTAAGGGTTTCAAACTTTCAAGTTTCAATGGCAAATTCAATAAAGATTTTGGGACTATGTAGCAACAACAAAAAAAAAGAGGGAAATTATTACGAGAAAAGAATGTAATGATAAAAAAAATTCATAGGCAAACAAACACATAATAATAAATTCTAATATAGAAGACAATAGTAATTCCATATTATATTTATTTATTAGGATTTTATAATGCTTTTAAAAAGAATTTAAATATGTAAGAGGAATTTTATCTTCACTTGCTTAAAAGCATTTTTTTAAGTGTTTTTGTGGTTTTCCGAACTCTTCCTAAGTAAATGGTCTTATTAAAAAAAATAATACTTTTATATTTTCATGTGCCTTATGGTTTAATTTGAATAGTCTTCAGTCCACGCATGTGTTGTTCATGGTCAGTTTTTAAAATGAGTTATATATATATATTAGATTATTTCGGTATTTAATATAAGATCTAATTAATTAATTTGAGTATATTAAAAATGTTAATTAAATTAGCTAATATGATATGTTTTTTCTAAAATACCTAAATATCTTTTTAATTTTTGTTCTTCTCTATAAGGGAATATCAATAGATTTAATTTAAAAAAATTGATAATTATATAAAATAAGTCTCATATTAAAGACAAATATTAACTATCTAATTATGTCCTATATTAAAGATGGAAAAAATATTAAAAAAAAAAAGTTGCTATCAAATATATAAACTTTGGTCATCGTGCCATTAACTACGTTGGGAGATTGCAATTCAAATCCTCCGTTCACCCAACATACACGAGAAGACAAACTAGTCAACGACCATTTTCCGCCTTCGCCTTTTTTTTCCTTTTAGTATGGTTGACAAAATAATTTTTTTTTTTGGCCAAATGGTTGACAAAATAATTAAGCGACAAGAAAATAATGCAGAGTAGGGTAGGGACGAGAAATAAATGGGAGGGATTTTAATACTATCATATTTAGTTTAGACAATGAAAAATTTTTCACATTCTTCCTTTTCATGATCAGGAAAATCTTATTGATTGTAAATTTCTCCATACCCATAAGAAAAGGACTTGAATGGTGCGATCTCGTCCTCACCCCAAAATGAAAATATTATATCCTTTATCATTTTATACGTTTATTCCCTCTCTTTTCATAGGAAAAAATAAAATTGTTATATTGTGATTAATCCTTATTTTATTTTAGAAAATTCAACATTTTCATTAAACTTACTTAAAAATCACATAGTATTATTTATTATATATATATATATATATATTAGAAAGGTATTAGATTATTGCATTTGAGTAGACGTCATCGACGCAGCTAGAGAACAACTGAGAATACAAGTGAACTATGCCGTGAAGGACAAAAATGAAAATATTAAAAATATGTTGGGTTAAATATGTCTGTTGCAATTTTTTTTTGATTGGGTGAAACACAATTGAAAAAGAAATTGTTTTTATTTAAACCCAAGCATAATCCCCAAAATAAGAGAGCAGTTTAGAATCAACATCATTTGGCATTATTGCAAATAGACAATCTTATCTTTTAAAACTATGCCCATTAGTGGCCTGAAATCAGTAAGCAAAATTGACTTCACCCGGCTTCTAACAAAGTGATAGATACTTCATTATTTGAAAGAGCTGTATGATTGTTAGGAGATTCTTCTCTAATTGGAATGTGTTCTAAGAGAAAACCAGGTTCTTTGGGCTCCGGCAAGACATCCTCACTACTCAACATTATAACCACAGATGTCATGTTTGGCCTATCATCAGCATGGTATTGCAAACAAAGAAGACCGACGTGGATGCATCACAATACTTCTAATTTAACGCAAGACTTCCCTAAACATTCATCGGCAAAGTCTAGTGGGATTCCCTCCTTCCACAACCTCCATGCCTACAGCAATTCAAAACAGTGAATTAGTTACCAATTTCAATAAAGAAAATAGAGAAGTTAGGCTCCTTGGTACTAACATGTCCGATAAGATTAATGCTTTGGCTTGGCAAAACGGGCTCCCTGTTTTTCATGCCACTCACTGTTTCTAACAATAATACGTCAAAACTGAACATATCGGATTTGACGGAGAATTGCCCACGAATTACATATTCAGAGGCTATGTGACCACTATTATATAACATAAAGAAGTTAATATCATATTCAATAAGGTAGATATATTCAAAATAAAAATATCATAAAGCACACTTACTATGTACTAACTATTTGTCTTGTCTTATCTTCAATTTGATCTCCTCCAAATATTCTTGCCAAACCAAAATATGATATTTTTGGATTTAATTCACTATCTAATAATATATTGTTTGCTTTGAGGTCTCTATGGACAATTTTTAATCTAGAATCTTGATGAAGATACATAAGTTCCCGAGCAATTCCATGAATAATGTGAAAGCGCTTGGACCAATCAAGAAATTTTCTTTCAGAACCTATAAATTTTCAATTAAATAACACTTATTATTGTCCAAGAAAGAAATAAAAGAAAAGGATGTAAGTTTTCAAATTGATAGCTCGTTAGCCATACAAACAAAAAATAAATGAATCTAAGCTCTTGTTGGGCATGTGTTCATATATGAGTATTTTCTCTTCTTCTTGAATGCAACAACCAAGAACCTTAACAAGATTACGGTGCTGAAGTTTGGCACACAATTTGACTTCATTCTTAAATTCTTGCAGCCCTTGGTAAGACCTTTGTCAAAACCATTTTACCGCAATTTCTTGTCCATCCGCGAGTAGACCCTACCATTTTTACATCATATAAATGATTCTCAATATGTAACATCATAAATCAGCAAGAGTAACAAGCTAACAACATATGTACCTTGTATACAGGACCAAAACCACCTTGGCCAAGCTTGTTTTCTAATGAGAAGTTATTGGTAGCATTAACTATTATAGCAAGATCATAGATACGTTGCTCCATATTTCCTTCATGACCTTCTTCATTGCTTGTTGCTATCAAGGTTTTTAGCTCCATATTTCCGTCAGATCCTTCTTCGTTGTTTGCTGCTAGCAAGGTTTTCTTTGTTCACTTTGTAAATTAAATGTAACACATAAATTGAAAAAAAAAAAAAACTATTCGTAGCATTGGGAATGCTTACCTATAGAGTTTCTTCTGCGCTTGTAAATATAAAACAAAGTGAAAAGCATCACAGTAGCCAATACAGTGGTCACTAGTATAGTAATCACCATTGTTTTATTTCCATTAGCTTCATCCTGTTCAGCTTCACAACAAAACGAAATAGGAGTTAATAGACAAAATGTTGAGATCGCTAAAGGAGCCAAGAGATTATTGAAAAGTGATCGCTAAAAGGCCACACCTGTTTCTGGAGAAGCAAGGCGAATATATAAATCTTAGTCATCAAAGGGAATTTGCCTTGTATCAATTAAATCACCGAACCACATAGCACAACCACTTCCTCCATGCCTGACATCTAAATTAGCATAAGCAATACAAGAACAATTTTCCCAGCATTTGGCTTTGCATTCCTCAAGTGTCATGCTTGCATTAACCCAAGAATATGTAGTATCTGGGAATTTGAGCCCACTAAATTTGACAAAATAATCCCTGTTTTTGTCCTTGCAACTCCATGATTTATTGCGGATGCATCCTTGAGACCAGTCCATTGCATTCCAATTTTTGAGTGATTTTGGCAAGAATCCTGTCAAGCACTGGCATATTGGTGTCTCACCTTCAACACAGTTGCCATTTGGGCCACAACGACCAAATCTATCGCAGTTATCAATTGGTACATAGCTGAAAGTAAGCCACCTTTGATCTTCTTCAATCCATATCATGTCCAGTACTGAGTATAATGTCTAGTTCAAGACGAATCTTGTAATCAGTGACTCATTTTTCACATTATAAACTGAGTACGCCTCATCTTTATTCCGGAAAAACTTTCCTTCATGAAATGGATTACTCGTCAAATAAGATATGCCACTGAACCAGACACCATTCCAGGGGCCGCTCCTTGTATACTCTCTTGGGCCCTGCCAGATCACTAAATCAAGATAATTGTGTAGTACAAGTTCTTCTGTAAGGTCTCCAAAGGAACGGTCATCCCAATTCTTCCATGCTGTATGACGTCGATTAAGACCAGTTCTCAGGTCCCATCCCGTCTTCATTCCTAGCAAAATTGTATCATAAGGATAGTCGAAGCTTTGCCACAAGTAGTT